TTTACAGTATGTAATGTTTCACACATGAGTGAGAACGCTCTTCTTCTTGGATTAATGGTATATCAGGAAACGTTCCCAACAGGGCGAGTGTTTTCTAACTTCAAACAGTATATTAGTGTGTTAGAAAAAGGGGCGTTATCTTATAATCAAATCAATTAAAGTACTGATTGGCAATATGGCCCTCCATCACACAGCGGTGTGTCGTTTTTATTATATCATCAATATTTATTGCGATACTGTAGATTTTTCAGGGAAATCATTTGAGAGAATGACAGCTGGTACCGATTATTAGTAAGCAAGGATCCAATTAGATAATTGGATGTTTGGAGCCGTATGCATTTGCAGAAACATAAAACACTGTTGAAATTTCTTTTCTTTATTCATGTTTTAAAGAGGGTAGTTTAACATTTATCTTTTAGTGTTGGTAGTGATTTTTAACCCATCAGATACGGCTGTGGGTGGGACATTGCTACAGTGTGGGGACTACAGATAGAAAGAGAGGTTTGCATCAGAGCCAGATTTATTATTATTAGTTATATATGTATGTAAAATAATAATAAACTCTTGTAGAAATACAATAGCAACACAATTCCACTGATGCTGAAATGATGGGATGCCACAGTAAAATCTATGACACATTTATGTAATAACACGATATATAGATCATCATATTGCTCACCTCTGTGTTTAAATGCATTTCTTAAAAGGCCCAAAATCGGGCAAAACAAACGCAGACATGAGGGAAGATAGACACGGAAGAATAACCTGAAACTATTGTGGGCTTCAGCTGGATTTCCTTTTTCCGACTAGAGAAATGACTACAGGAGGAATGCATATCACAGCATTACTTTCATGTCAGTTTAGTTTTCACAGTTTTTAAAATGTTGTGGTCCCTTCAGGTCGCCCATATGAAAATGTTCCTTTTAGCCAGATGACATTGACAAACTTTCATCCTGCACTTGGCAAAATCTTAACGCAAACCAAGCTGGAAATTGGGGCTATTAAGCCATAAAAGCACCTTTTTTCATCCTTAAATTAAATTCAAGCAAACAACAGACGTTTTTTTTTTTTTAAACCGGTGACTCTGTCCAGAAATCTTTCGCTGTTATCGCTTTCGTATCCAAAAAGCCTTTTTGGCAGGTTGGTTTCTCTGTGAGACACAATGGCACTTTACTAGATTCCTGGGCGCTGAAGTTCAAACATTTAAAATAGCTGTCCCACTTAGAGCTGCAGGCTTCCCAAGTGCGGCCTTTCAACGAAATGGCAACAATCAGGCTTAAAAGGAAATAAATACATCACAAATATTTAGGCACTTGTTGCTACTAACAACACAACACAAATCTGTCATTGTAGCAGCCTCTGTGCTGACTCACTCGCATCCCAAAATGGTAAAAACTCTCCATTGGATTTTCTTTTTTTTTCTGTGTGTTTCTTCTGTCTGGCTAGAATGTGTGGATGACGGTGATGATGCTGGCAGCGGTTCGAGTGTATGACCTAGATCCTCACACTAGTCATAGGTGGGTGTGGGAAGAATTGGAGAAGAATTAGGGGGATAGAAGGAAAAGACAAAAATCAAAGGAGGCAGAAGAAGAACTGGGAGATAAAGGAGGCAGTGAGTAAGAAGAGCAGGTTACAAAAAAGAAATGGAGGGGGGGGGAAGGCAGCAAGAAGTGGGGCCACTTTAAATCCGAAAAGCCTGTAGCTGATGGATAAGCCAAACAGCAGAGCCAAAACTGCTCCGAGTTCTGGGAAAAAAACAGCCGCCGGCCTCAAACATATGGGTGACAGCGGCGGATAGCACATGTGAATCATCCACCTTTCAGTTTGGCGTCCAAGAGTTTAGTGTCTTTCCACCCAACAGATGGACCATTGGGATCAAGTAAACACCTTTTCAGCGCCAGTTGAAAAGTCAGTGGAGGGAGGAGACGGGCCATTAAGTAGCCGTTGCTCAGATTGCAGCTCCCCCACTGGGTCGGTTGAAACAGGCCGGGCCAGAATGCGCTTTTCTACTTAGACCTTCGCATTTTTGTCAGATCCATTTAACCTTCTTTGGACACTGGTCAGTGGATTAGCGATGCGCTCTCGACAGGGTGCAACCGCTCGCTGTGTGCAAGTTTGCTGAAGACGTTGGTTTCAGATTTACCCTCCTGTCAACGCTTGTGTAACATCAGCCTGCCCGACTGCTGCTGCTGCGGCAGCACCGGGGCTATTTTCTTCGGCGTACAGGAAGGAGATGAACTCACACCGCATTGCCTTCTCACTTCCCCTGCCACGCCAGCTGCGGTGATGTTTGTCCACACGCTGCTCTCTGATAAGTCGAGTATGTTCAGCCAAGAACAGCTGCTTTCCCAGTATAGCTACAGCACGACAATTACAGCTCTCTTGTTGAGGAATAGTTTCTTTCAGCGGTGGACTTTTTTGAGATTTAGCTGGAAAGACCTACTTCCTCTTAGTGTCTTCTTAAACAATGTCTCAAGCTTATGGCCTCACACTTTTAGGGAAGTGAGGTCAACCCTCTGAACCCCAAACAATGTTCTGGGCATTTTCTTTTGAATCCTGCCACATTTTTGCTCTCTCTGGTTTCATTTTAGTGCAGTATTAGTAAGTCTTGCACCTCTATGGAAACAGCACAACTTTGGCTAGACGTAGAGAGAACGCAGAAATGTCTTTTGTGCAATAAAACTTAATTATAATGTCATAAATCATCAAAATAGAAGAGAAGTGTAAAAAAAAATACATTTTTCCAAGTGCCTTCAGGTTTAACGGTACTATAAAGAAATCATGGCTCTACATGTTGCAGATATTTTACTGCTTACATTTTTACACAGCCTACAGTTCAGCAGAAAAAGTCCGTGAATTTTTGTCGTGTGAGTGTTCTTCACAGCTGAGTCGTTAATGGTTTCAGGGATGTGTCAAGGACCACAGATTTTTTTGTTTTGAACAGAATCTGTTTAATGACAACGATTTAGTTTTAGCAAATTTAAAAGTACACATGTAGGATGAAATGATTTTGACGAGAAATCACATTTTAAGCTCTTAGTTGGGTGATTTTCCAGAGGGAGTAATACCTCACAGATGAGTAGTTCAAAGACTACTAGTCGGACTCTTGAAAATCTGATGATTCTTTACAGTTTTTGACTCGAATAAATAGTGAAATTTCACATTTTTTAATGTCTTTTAAACCTGCTGGAGGGCTTTGGCGTTCAGACGGTTAAAGCTTTATTTTGGCATTAAAGCCAGGTGTACAAAGATGGAGCCGATCCCTCCTCCTGCTTTACTCCTCTCTCTGTCTGCCCCATCGCTCGCCCTGCAAATGGAAGCCTAATAGACCGATTCCACTTTGGCCCGACTGTGCGCAGACGATCGTGATTCATGCATCATCTCCGAGCTCTCTGTGAAGCTCAAATCCTATAATAGCGAGGCTCTTTTGGAGTAAAGTGAAATATTTGCGCATCGGTTTGTTCCCCTCGTTGGGAAGAGTTTGTCGCTGCAGTTATTGCTTCATATTAAAAGCCTCTCGTATTCTGGCAGCACAGCCCGGCTCAGGTTAGAAAAGATGACTGCAGTCGACTCTCTGTCATCTCTCTTAATTCAAACAGACACAACAGTGCACTGGAACAGAACGGATGTCTCCCCTTTGTATGGGAAGTCTCTGTGGGAGCAATTATGTATGAGCAAGTTTGCCTGTTATGAAATATTGATTCCTGTTTTTTTTTTTTCTGTAATTTTGAACGATCCACTTTCTTATACCCCTGCGTGTCCTGCAAGAATCTGCTTTGCATCATATAGAAACAAGAGCTCGTTGTCAGCTTCCCGGGCCTACATCTCATTAATGTCCCGGTTTAAAATTAGATTTGATATTGTCCAGAGATGTCAGCCGGACTTGCGCTGGACTACATATCAGCCAACCGGAGTTGTTGTTGAGTCCCTAAACTCCGGGATGAGTGATACTTGAGGGCGAAGTCGGCCATACAGTGGAACAGTGCGGAATACAGACACGGAGCACAGTCCGGCTCCAGATCACTGTGGCATGAAAGGAATCCTCTGTTGGCGCTGGTCGCTGACTTCTTCCCCCCCTGTGAGAGACCATCGTTTTACTGGTCTGCGCTCGGCGGACATTGCAGCCTTTCATCTCTCAGAGGAAGGGCAGCTGCTCCTGGGATCCTTTCGGGCTCGATGGGAGGCGTTTTCTGGTGATTAAAGCTGCACAGGCCAGAACATTTCAAGGTTCACATCCACAAAAGTTTGCACCTTGTGAACTATTCACACCTTGTTGCACAAGTGTACCTGAAAAATCAAATTTGGTGATACATTCAACTTAATCCCTCTAATGGCAGTAATCAAGTACTTTGGGAAGTCCAGATTAAGAGTTCTGGTGTCATTTGTAGCCGGCAGCGTAGCAAATAGTTCTTTTTGTTATGAGGAGAGCTGGGTAATTATCATTTAACAATGGTGCAATTTCAGTAAGAAAACAGTGTTGGTTTCCAGTGGCATAAATAATGCATTTGTTCCTCTTAAAAGAAAATAAAAGAGACACTTCTCTGGAAATCTGTGAGCGCATGATTCAAGTACACAAAAGACTTAATTTTATACGTCTGAAATATTAATGCCGTGTCCTCAACATCACTTTCAACCTATCACTGGCTGTCTTGTGTTTTAATGTTACGAGTACTTTAGCTGTAATAATTAGCTGAACCGCCTTGTTGCACGTAGATTCTCGGCTAATTCCCACCGATAATTTGTGGCCAGAAACGCTCGGACGCACATGTTTCGGTCATTATTCTGCGCAGGATGCTGGTGTGTACCGCGATCGATTTTATTAGTGCGCACCGGCAGTTGTAAAAAGCTTAAGACCTTGGTGATGAAAAGCACGGCTTGGTGATTGAATTAAACCTTCTTAAGCTGCTGTATGACGAGTTCATTCAATCCCAGAGGTCCCAGTTGTCCTTTACATCGATCACATCCCCCTTTTCCTTCTGTCGTCCCTGTGTGAATTACAGACGGTGGACATCCATAAAGAGAAGGTGGCCAGGCGGGAGATCGGGATCCTGACCACGAACAAGAACACGTCGAGGACCCATAAGATCATAGCGCCGGCCAACATGGAGCGGCCGGTCAGGTACATCAGGAAGCCCATTGACTACACTGTGCTGGATGATGTCGGTCACGGTGTTAAGGTGAGCAGATTGCGTCTTTTTCCTTTCTTTAGATTGTCTCCCTGATAAGATTTCGCTACACCATTAGTTTATATCTGCTTCTGTTCTTCCACTTTCTTGTTTTCTGTCTAATTTTTCCCTCCCTTCCCCCTCCTCGCCTTCTCGCCAGAGGTATTCCTATCTCCCTTCCTTCTCTTCTCTCTCCCGCTTTGACTCTTTTTTTTTTCTCTCGCTCACACTCTCTATCTCTTGTGCTTTTCTCTTTCATCTTCAGAAAGCACCCCTTCTGACCCTACAGGAATATGTTTCAGTGTGGGTTGGTGGGAACTGGTTGGGGGTGGAGATGAACTAAAAAAGCGATTACATCATGCGGCTTTCAGAAAACAGCTCTATTCTTGGAGCCTTGTGAAAATGGCAATCAGAGACGATTTCGGAGACGTTTTCGAAGGGCTCTCGGGCCCTGACCGTCATCGTAATCTCATTCTTGAGTCAGTACGATTAGATTTGCGGTTTATTTTAGCATCAGTGCGATCTGAAAAGTGGGAAAGATGCTTTTTGATGCGATAAATTAGAGTTAGTAGAAGCTCATTCCCTTTCTTGCCATTAGCGTTCGCTTTGGCGGTCACTTGGTCGTCCTGACCGTGACATCATTTCCTGATAGCCGCGGGCATTTTTTTGCGATCTCCGCCCTCCCTCATGAGCGTCCTCTGTCCCATCAATCAGCCAATCAATTGCAGCTGTCAGACTGATTGGATTAGAGGCCCACCATTAGCGTCCCGTGGTGTTACAGGCATTGATAAGACAGGATAAAAGCCATTGTGCCACTCTCAATTTGCCATGCGGGGATTTGCACTGAATCCGTCCATCGCGTTCAACTGGAAATGTGTTTCTCACCAGATTTTCAGCCATTATTGTGGATATTATATTCTGGAAAATGTGGCTCTAAATGCAGCACTCCTTTCAAGTGTCAGACAAGAAAAACAATACCGCTTTCAACTGTATATGACGCGAGAAGCAAGAGGCTGTTTAGCATCAATACCAGGAGTGCAGTGACTTCCTGGTTGCCAAAGATGGCACTCATAAAAGCTGAAATTGTTGTTTTACTGTTATGTTTCAGTTCTGGTTAAATAAAGTAGGGATGACTTATAAATTAGCAAGCTTGAGAGGTTCTCTTTGGCAGATTTAGGGACACTGGACAGCAGTTTCTCCCAG